ATTAAAATAAATGAATAAATAAAATAAAAATAAACAACAACTTTCCTTAAAAAATAAAAATCCCACCACTTGGTACTCCCTCATTCACCTCAGACATACATACCACCCTACAGTTATTTCAAACATCTAGCCAAGATTCTTTTTTTTTTTTTTTAAGAGGTTTTTGCTATAGGGTGCATGCGCTTGCCAGACAGACAGAGACAAACAAAGAGACAGAAAGCGAGAAATCACCCCCCGGGGGGATGGCCACACCGCAATCCCTTCTCCTCCATCCTCCTCTCGGGATCTTGGGCACGCAAACACACGCGCCTGGCGTGAGTTTTAAGCCACCGGGTCCAGGACGCGAACCGCGGTCGACTATGTGGGAGTCCAGCAACACAGCCATTACACTAACTGCTGGTCGCCACCCAAGATTCTTATATAGTTCTTATTTATACTTCTTTTCTCAAAAAATATTTGCTCCAGTCCAAAAGCCAAACCAACCAAGAAAAACATGCTGTTTGTTCAGCTGGTCCTGTGACCAAAGCAAAGCACTCTTACCAAGTTAAGACAGTAGCAACAGTGGCTCTGTAAGCAAGCCATTCAATGTTTCTTAGAAACAATGAAACTTCATTAAAATAAGTGTAATAGTTTGCAAAGATGCCTAGACAGTGACTTCCCCCACCAAAAACCTTTCAAAAAAAAAAAAAGAAAGAAAGAAAAAGTGACCTTTAAACAATCCACAAAACTAAATCTTTCATTTGGCCAGTGGCAGCTACAGAACCATAAGATGGCATTAATTATCTCAGGGGAGCAAAATTATTGCTTTCTACAAAATGTTTGTAAATCACTATTTGAGCAACTCTTTATAAAATTTCTTTATGGGCTAAAGAAAAAAAAGAAAAAAAAAAAAAAAAGCCGTCCCTAGTCCCCAAAATGCAATTAACTTGGATTTGAGATGAATTTGAGTGATGTTTTACAGAAACATGGCTAGGCTTTTGCTCATCAACTAAGTTTTAAATTCCAATAAACAAAGTCCATTTTAACTTACCTGTTATCTGCCATCTGAATGTTTTTCTCCCCTACAAATAAAAAAGAGGTACAATAATTCTATTTATGAACAAAAACATATGCTCAAATATACTATTATAGTGATTATATATGGGATGAGGCCTACTAAAAGGGTCAGTAGGAAACTTGTAGAGTGGTGGAAAGGTTCTAGATTGGGGTTACTTGGGTATGTATTTCTGTCAAAATTCACTAGATTATTCACATAAGATCACACATTTCATTATGTGCAAATTTATTCATAAAAATTTCTCTTATTGGGGCTGGCAGATGACGTGGTGGTTAAAGGAGCTGGACTCTCACATGTCTGACAGTTCAAGTCCTGGACCTGATGGCTTGCTTTTTCTCTTTTGCTCATTCTCTCCCATTCTGTCCCACTCTGGGCAAATTAAAATAAATAAATAAAAATAATTCTTAAAAAAAAAAAAAAAAAGTATCCTACCGGCAGTAAAATGACCAGACCTCAAAATAAGAATAACTAATTCTAATTTGCCTCATCTCAATAATGATGTTTAGAAACATTTATTAAAGGACCAGCTGTACACTCCCACATGGCTGACCACGGTTTGAGTCCCGGACCTGGTAGCTTGCTTTCTCACTTTTCTCCCCTCTCTCTGTCTCTGTCCTCTCTCTCTGGTCAAATTAAAATAAATGGATGAATAAATAAGATTAAATAATTATTTTTAAAAATGCACACTCCCTGTTTAAAAAAAACATATTAATGCTAGTCCAATTATTTTAAACCATTTACTGCTTATATTGTCTTCCAAATATACACAAATACATGTGTATTTTTTTGAAAGTATATTTTCAAATATACTTTTAAAGACATACTAAAATAATGTATTTGGCATCAGCAGGTGGTGTGGTGATTAAGGCGTGGGACTCCCAAATGGGTAACCATGATTCAAGTCCTGGACCTGGCAGCTTACTTTCTCTCTTTCTGGTAAGTGCACATGCCCTATAGCATATTAAATAATAATGATGATAATAAAGTTAAATAAATAACTATCTTTTTTTTTAAGGAGAGATTTTTTTAATAGGGTGCATGTACTCACCAGAGAGATGGAGAAAGAAATTACCCCCCTGGGGGTGTGTGTGGCTACACTGCAATCCCTTCTCCTCTATTCTCCTCTCTGAGCATGTATGCACATGCACCCAGCATGAGTTTAAAGCGCTGGGTCCAGAACTAGAACTGCTGTTGGCCTTGTGGGAGTCCAGCTCCTGCACCACTACGCCACCTGCTGAA